AGCCACTGAAGCCTCCTCTTGTGACACACTCTGCAATATTAGTGATAAACTGAAGTCTGAGCTATTGAGTGCCCAGCAAGTCCTCGTCAGTGAGTGTGAGAGTGTCATGGAAGTAGCCACAGAAAGAAACAACTGCTTTTTATATTCTCTAATAACTGTTAGAGCAGTTGGAGTTAGGACTCTATCCATAGCTCTCTATACTGTTAGAGCAGTCTGGAGTGCTTATGAACTGCTTTGTAAAATAGCTTCTGATAGACTCTTTAAAATATCCATAGCTAAAAGAAAACAAATAGAATGAGGAGAAAACACTTTGAAAAGTACATCCATTAGGACTTTACCTTAAATCATCAAAATGTGCACACACACACACCACACACTGTCTTAATCTGTCTGGGCTGCTATAACAGAATGCTATAAATTGAGTGGCTTGCTTAAACAATAAATATTTCTCTCAGCTCTGGAAGCTGGAAGTCTGAGATCAAGACATTGGAATTTGGTGGCCAGAGAAGTTCTGCTTTCTGACTGGTTCTGTTGTTTCCTCCTCACAGAAAGGAAAGGAAGCTCTCTAAAGTCTATTTAGGGCTCCCCATTCATAACCTAATCACCCACCAAAGGTCCCACCTCCTTGTACCATCACATTGGAGGTCAGGATTTCAACATATAGATTTTGGGGAGGGGGGGTCGTAAATATTCAGTTTGGTACACACACTCACACCATATACAGACGTTCACAAAACTTTTCTAAATTAGAATTCCCAAGGGAGAACTTTGATTAAAGAAGAAATATTTCCTGGATTAAGTAAAATATGATATGACACAGATTTTATGTGTGTAATAGAAGATTATTTTGATGCCAATGTTGTCTTGATTCCTACAAATAAAAGTTTTAAGAAATACAACATAGTACTGACACTTTTCAATCTGGCATATTATCACACATCAAAAGGATCAAGTTAAAGAATTTATTAATGAAGATTTAGCAACAATAATATTTGTTACTAAAGGCATTACCAAAGGTAGAAGCAATAACATGGGACAGATGTAGCACATATACACAATGGAATACTTACTCAGTGATCAAAGAAAGATAAGCTCACACCATTTCCAGCAACATGGATGGAGCTGGAAGGGAATATGATACTTGAAATAAGCTAGAAAGAGAAAGATAAATACCAGATAATGTCACTTGTAGATGGAAAGGAGAAAAACCAAACATAGGGTCAAAGAGAAACTTTAAAATCAACTCTTGAGAGCTGACAGTAGAATCGTGGCTTCTAGAGCAAGAGGGGGAGGAAGAGAGATTAGAATAATGGGATGGGGTTGGGTGGAGAGCACTGCATGTCCTGAAGAAGACTGGTCTGAAGTTCATCAATACTACCTCCAAGTTGGCCATAGCTGCTTCCAGACTATGGAGAAGAAAGTCCTCACGGACCACTTAAAAAAGACCAAATTATAAAGGAAGAAGTTTAATGTCAGCAACGGAATATGAAGCTGGTAGGATCTTGATAAAAATTGTTTTCCAGTAGAAAAATAGAAAAAGAAGTTGGCATCCAGTCTTTTGCAGAGTCTATCACTATCTCCTCATTTTCTACATTCTGCTTCATTTCTATATACTATATTAATATAGATATACTATATATAGTAATAAGTTTTATTATGAAATGAAGTAAACAGTAAATATAAAAAATGTCTTCACTGTAGGAAATACAAATGGAGGATGTTGGTGATTTCAAAATAAGTGCTTCCAGAAAAATGTCAATTTTTTGATGATGTGCTACTTCTCATGCCCACTGACAATTTCAGAAAATAAATTTAGAGGCTACAAAAATCTTTGACTATGAGGAAAGTTAATGTTTTAATAATTCTATCAAGTATCATAATGAATATTTTGGGGGGGGTCTACTTGTTTTTCAATGGTTTATATTTAGTTTTTTTACATATTTATGTTAGTTTCCCACCATATTTATATGTTAGTTTCCCAATATTTAGTATTTATTTCCCTTAAATAATTGAAAAATATAGGTCCTTTAAATATTTTCTTTTTTTCCAAAGAAATGACTTTTAATGAATTGTCATTTGAACTTCTTTTGAGGTTGAATCCTTTGATTCTTTACAACCAAGATGTTCTGATAGATGGTTCTTATATAATTAGTTAGAACTTTAAGAAGGTTATTTATTAGCATATTTACATGACTTTCCCCCTGTGCAGTCAAAACAATAGGTAAAACATAATTGAACACAGTCGATATTGTGAAAGAAAAATCAGTAAGTTTTGGGCGAAGGAAGAATAAACTTGCAGAGGCTAAATCAGCAGATCAAAGAGACCTGCCATGAAGAACCCTGTAATAAATACTGTTGCCTTATTAGTCATCAACAGTGAACATTTTATTTTGGAACTAAAGGTCACTCTGTCAGTTTCTGAACCTCTAATTTTTATGTTACTTAAGACTATACTGGATTACAAAGCCACTCCTTTCATAAGAACTCCAGATGGTTGTTGTATTTCCTCCAGAAATGCATTTAAGACTCTCACAACTGAAGACCATGCATTCACAGCAAGAAAAACAAATGGATATTGAATCAGAAGTGATTGTTAAGTCTAACAACTGTCCACTCCAGTTGTAAGGAGATATCAATGCAAGAATGCCTGTGATGTGCTAGGCACTGCACAGCACACACCCTTAATACATGACAAGGGGGAAAAACAGTTCCTAACCTGATGAAACTTGCAGCCTAACATAGAAGAAAAACACAAAACAATCACACAAATAAAGACCTGAAATTTCAATGACAATATTGTTGATGGGTTGCTGTGTTGTCATATCAGCCTTTTTTTCCCACAAGAAGTCTAAAACAGCCAGGAAAGAGTTTTCATGTTAAAAACTGAAAATAATTTCTCATCTGCCTCCTGTGATGTGAGCCCATCACTCAATTCCTTGGTAGAGGTGCAAAACAGTGACATATTCCACTTCTTACATCCAAGTAGGTGCCATAGCTGATAATTTTACATTCAAATATATCTTACATTCATGCTCTCTTCTCCAATTTCCATAATCCAAAAGCAAAGTACTAGTTCTCTGGGCCTCTTACCCAATCTTAATAGATCCCAGAATCACAAACTGAATAGGAGAATATTAAAGTGGGAAAAGAACCTGGAGAGCACTGCTCAGATGAGGAAATTAGGCTCAGCAGGACACCCCAATTTAGCCTACCCATACACCTGTCATTAATTTTTCTTTGGAGCCACCATGGAATACACTATTGGTTTCCTTGCTTGTGATCATTCCCACTCTCTTCTTTCTGGTTAGAAAATTTCCTTTCCCACAACAAAAGGTAAAAGTGACAAACATGTGACTGGATGGCCAAGCGACTAAGTTATAGTGAGTGAGATGTAAAGAGAAGTCTGATGACTGATTTCTGAGCAAGATTTTGATTCTCCCTGTCATTCTTTCCTGTTTTTGTTGCTGAACAAAAACCCAGCATCTGAGGGTGGATAATCAGAATAATGAAAAGCACTTGGGACCCCATGTATTAGCCCTGAACTAACCATGGGACCACCTACTTGCGTACCTCTTATTGTGAGAGATTAGTTGCAGACCTTCCTATTTCTGACTTTGTCATGTATTCTGTTACTTAACCTGAGCACACCCTGAATGGATCAATGGTCTACTTCTTTATTTTCCATCAACCCCAGTAAGGTCCATAAGATCAAGGAATTAATCTAATCTTTTCATTATATTCCCAATTCCTAGAACAGAGTCTGATCCAGAGTCGGCCCTTGAAAAATATTTGTTGAATGAATAAATGCCTCCAAGTCTTCATTAGCTTCCTTCTTCTACAGAATAAAGTCCTTAGGATTAAACTGGCATTCAGGGCCCTCACACCAATCTGTCTTTTCAACTTTATCTTTCACCTTCATACAGGTTACAAAGTAACCTCCCAAACACCCCCTGTGCTTCACTGATGCAGGACTTTAACCCACAATGGTCAAGCCACAAAATATGCTCCTCTATGCTTCCCTTTCATTCTTCAACTTCCACATCTTCTCCCATGGCACTTTCTCTGCACTTTCTCTGTTACTTTCCAGCTACAAATATCTTCTCTATTTCTCTTTTGTACCATTTGTAATTTTTAAACATTTATGATAATTATTTGGCATAGTCATCTTCATTAGATTATTAGCTCCTTAAAGATAGGAAATTTAGGGCCTCCCTGGTGGCGCAAGGGTTTAAGCACCGCACTATGAAGCAATCCGAGTTCAATCCTCTGCCCCCCGCCAGCCAGGGAGAAACCCACATGGCGCAGCAGACCTCTCCTGTCTCACCTGCTGCCTCCCCTCAGCAGTGTATTTCAGTCAGTCTGCCTGTTCTGTTCCCCACTCTGTCTCTGGTGAATCCTCCCACCCCCACATCTCTGGCCTGTACCCCAGTTCTTGTATATATAAATAAATAAATCTTTAAAAAAAAGATAGGAAATTTACTCTCTCAAGAAACAAGCACAATGCTTTGCTCCAGCAGATAGCTAGCAAATTTTTCTTCGGGATTGGAGGAATAATAACATTCTAGTGAGCCTATTTGAAAAATAAGATGAACCCCAGGATCAGGGCTGATTCTCATGAAGCAAAGATCTGTGACTTGAAGGAGGGGCAAGAAAGGGAGGAAAAGAGACTTGTTGGAAGTGTCAGGAGCAGGCACTGAGGCTTTTTCTCTTGTCGATGATAGCAAAGTTCTTAATGGAAGATGATCCCAATCAATAGAGCCAGACAGTTGATTTATATAATGGAATCAAGCTGAAGTAGTGGTCGTCCTCTGCAGTGATGTGAAAGGGGGAAAGGCTACTAGATAAGAACCAGAGGACTCCACAAGTCTATCTGCTTGTGTTCATAAATATGTTCCCCATCAACAAACCACAGGAGAGCTCCAGAAAGCAGCCTACTTGAGCCTGGATGCCAAAGAGTGACGGTGGGGCTGGTGCTGCTGCTGTACTTGGCTGCTGCTGCTGCTGCTGCTGCTGCTGCTGCCACTGAACAGATACCGCGGGGAGGGGTCTGACCGCACTCAGTGTCCCTGGAGCCTTGCTCTGGCTGGGGCCCTGGCTGGGAGTGAGAAGAGACTGAAGAGTGGGAGGTGAGCAGGTCTTATCAAAAGCTGCAAAGCAAAACTCGAAATCTAGGGAGCAAAAGGAAAGAAAAGGTGAGCTTGAGTCAAGATCCCAAGCCAAGTGGACCTGGCGGAAATGTCATCTTTGGTAAAGGAGGACTTGCAGAAGAAACTGTTCAAGCCGCTCTCACAGAATCTGTATGAGTTTATTGAAATAGAGTTCTCCGTCCAGGACAGGTATTACCTCTGTGTGTCAGGTAATCTGTTCTGTCTCTTATCATTTCATATCGCAAATAACTCTGAGGTGCTTGGGTGATAGAAAATGTCTGTATTTTCCTACACAATAATATTTATTTTCCTACACAATAACAGCACCTGCATCTACTTGGTTGTGCTTGATTGTACCAAGTTTAAGAATTTGGGGTTCTACAGAATTTTCTTTTCAATGAGAGAATGGAAGACAGGAAAAAATATTATAGTAAGAATATTTTGCTCAACTGTTCAGAAGCGAAACTGGGCTTGTACATTACCTGATTTGATTATTTTCGTCTCCAATCTTTTACTTCATTCACTTGCATGTTATGCAGTTTCATTGTGTAAGAGCTCATTTTAAAAAATTCATTGGAGAACATTGTGTATTTTTTTTAATACATTGGAGAGTTGAGTTATACAGAAATATATCCAACTCTTTCTGACAACTCGGATCTCCCTTTTCATGTTACAAAAGAAAAAAAAAAGACCTTAGTTCCCCACCCCCGCCTCCCGGGCTGATTTTCAGAGATAAGTGATCCTTTAAAGACACTTTTTGCCCAAGTATGCTCATAGAAACACGCTTTATGGGTGGATTACTTCATGAAGATGAAACTTTAAGGATAAGAGAACTATTTAACTAAAATAAAGATTTTCCTTCATGTTTTAAAAATTCATGGAAGTTGTGCAAAGTTAGGAATAGCCTTCTGCGCTTCACTGTAATTTGCCTTACCTGTATTTGTGTGTATGTGTGTATGCTGAATTTAGGCAGAAATGCTTCTGCCATTATGGTATTTAATATACAACATTCCCTCTTCTCATCCATGGCTTTTAGTGCTTTTTAGGGACTTAGAAGGAAAGTGCTTAGAAACTCTAAGTGTTCATAGTGAACTTATTTTTTAAGGCACACATCTCAGCATTGAGAGAACACAAGTTGCTGCAATTCCCTTCCTGATAATTCTCTTAGAAGGTCTTTTAAAGGTGTCAAGAGGGAAAACTCTAATGAAGTAGAACATTTTTAAGTCAAAATTTCAAAAGGTTCTTTAAAATTATATCACTCCTAATGAATATAGTAATAATTACTCAAGAATAGCATTATTTGTCCAATATATTACCTGGCAATTTCCAAATAAATACAAAATATGGGGACTTGACATATCAAAAAGGTAAAAAAAATCAGTCCAGGAAAAAGAAAGCAAGTCAAATAAAAGAACTTCAGAAACTGTGTTAGATCTTAACCATCAAATCACTATATCTTAAAGTATGTTGACTTATATACTACAGAAGATCCTTATTCCAATATTAGCATTTAATGATTTTATACTTATGTGTCATCCTATTTTACAAAGCTAATTACACTTCATGTAACATTAGTATATAAGTATTTTTAGAGCAAAACGTCTTTAAAATAATCACAATAATGTATATATCTAAGTAACTGTATCTTATGCCTCCCTCTGACTATATGAACTAACTAAACTTTTCTACCTGGCATGGGGGTAAAAGTCTCCTAAATTCATTTTTTAAATGGATGTGATTTTTATTCCTAGTTTATCCAAGTTATGAGAGCGATACCATGGGCCGGAGTCACCTGCTGTCTTCTTTCACAAATGATTTGAATCTTTCTAACTGGGATTCATTGTAAACATGGGAAACACAAGCTCTTTAGGATTGAATGTTTTCAATAGAAAATGATCAAATAGAACATCTTTAAATAAAGTCTTCAAATAACCAGGTCATCACTTTCACTGGTAAAATTCAATGAATCTGTCTGCAAGACACAAGGAAAAATAAAGTTCTCCCAGAAATGAGAAAGAAAAGATAATATTGTCATATTTCAGATAGCAGTTAACATTTTAAGACTTATTAGTTCTTTTCACAACTAACTTTTCCAGCTCTCCTCTATGTCACATCCACCAATTTGAGAGTACTTTCCCCAAAGGTAACACCATAATCTTTATGACCATCTCAAATACATTTAGACAGAGCTACGATTAAACTAAATTCAAGGAGATGCTTGGTAGTCCTAAATATTTGACCAGTGTTACTCAGAAAATTCCTGTTGTGTGAATCTAACAGGTCGCATCACAATTATTGAGGCAGTTCTCTCCATATATTCTGAATATTGACTACCTTCAGCAAGGAAGGGACACATAGTTACGAGTATATAATCTGCAACCCAGCAGTTCTAAATTGTGAGAATTGTAGGTCCGGAAGATAAATTCTATCACGCATTTTTTTCAAATTAAAGAAGATATATTTCAATAAGATAAACTTTCTACTTATCTGATCAGAAACTCTCTTTTACAGGAGGCTCACAACTAAATGATTGTGATTTACTGTTACCTTGATGCTTTACTGGATTGATGTCATAAACTCAATCTCCTTCTCCATAGTTGCTGGGATTTACACTGAGGATTTTTCGACACTGAGTTTCCATTCCCCTGAGCATTTCTGTACAGCTTATTTATGAGCTATTGTTTTTTTTTTTTCTTATTCTTCCAGATTAGATTGGCTCAGTTGCCCAGTCTACCTTCCATTTAGGTTCATGAATAGTAGTGACTATTTTACCATGCCAATAAAAGCATTTATTGATGACAGTGTTTACTTTGAGATTAAAGGTGAAAATAATAGTGGACATGAAGTCAAAACTATCATTCTGAAAATACGAACTAAAATGCCAAAACTGGAGTAGGCTCATTCTGAAATCCCCTGGGGTATCTGGATATTACTCACTACATCATAATTATGTAATGGTTCCTCTGATGTTACTGAAACCAGCTCTCTAGCATTTTGACTACATAAACACATTTCTGTTTTAAGACAATGTGATAAGTTTCCACTTTGCCATTGCATTAATGTGGATATGGCCATTTAATTTTAGCTGGCAACAGAGTTCAAATGTGGAAATTAGGGATTGGGTCCACTCCAGCCTGAAAAAGACTTCTTTGGTTCTTGGCTAAAGACCATTCTTGGAGCCTCCTTGTTTCCAGAGTAGGCTATTTTGCCAAATTAAGGAGCCAGCACTGTCTCTGGGCTGCATCATTGTATCAAAAGCATTTTTAAATTTTCTTAGTTTGGTATTGGTGTGACAGTGACCATTAATATATGAAAACTTGATAATTGGTAGTTTCCACCCTCTTTTTTTTTTTTAGCATTTCCTGATCATTCTTTTTTTATATATATTTTATTTTATATAATTCTTACATAATTTTTCAATTTTGCATAATGTATGCATTTTCATTTTGGTTATATTCCCCATACAATTCCCACTCCCTTTTTCTGATCCTAATCCCTCTTCTCCTGCCCCCAGCCCCCACTGTAGTGTGTCTCTGGTCTATAGTTGCTTGTTGATTTTGATTTTTACTTTATTGCAATTAGTCTTTTTCCTGGTCCATATTTAGGTTTTCTAAATTCCTGCTATGAGTGAGACCATCCAGTATTTTTTCTATTTCTTTCTGGCTTATTTCGTTGAGCATGATCCCTTCCAGCTCCATCAATGTTGCTGCAAATTGCATGAGTTTATCTTCTTTGATTGCTGAGTAATATTCCATGGTGTATATGTACCACATCTTCTTGATTCAGTCATCTATTTTCGGGCATTTGGGTTGTTTTCCATAGCTTAGCTATTGTAAATAGTGCTGCTATAAACATAGGGGTGCAGGTGCCCTTTTGAATTAATGTTTCTATGTCCTTTGAGTTCCCACCTTCTTAACATCTTTCTCCATTCCCACCTCCAACTCATCCTTTCTGGAGTTACCCAAGAAAACTTAATAAACTCCAGTGACAACCCCTCTCTACCTCCCTGACCCGCACACACAGTTTCTGAAAGGCTTTTGAGGTCGTCTGCCCAGCATTCACAATCCTTCAGGAACTAGCTCCTGCCTAACTTGCTTCCTACCACCTAACCATCCTCACACTTCATGCCAAAAATACCAAATACTGATAATGCCTCAAAAGTGTCAAATACTTAATGCTTTTGTACACGGGCTGTTCTACAACTTCCTTTCTTTTCACTCTTCATTCTGCTAACTCCCACTACCTTTTACAATTCAAATGACCTTCAGGAAACTCTCCCTGGCCCCCGTGAGATGAAAGTGTCCCATTTCCATGTTGCTGTTTGTCCTGTCATGCCTCATTCAGAGCCCTGTCATCACATTTTCTTTCTGAAGCCCCGTCCCCTGTAATCTTAATAAGAGCAGCACTGGTGCTTTGTGGGAATTCTTTTTTTTTTTTTTCCCAGTGCCTAACACAGTGTTTTTTACAAAAGGGACCTCAAATATTTGTCAAATTAATAATATTGAAAGACTGGATCTGCAGTCAATTAGCTGGTTTTTGTAACATGTAAATGAGGTAGAAGAATTTCTTTCAAATGGCATTGTTCTATAGTATACAGCTATTTGTCCATATCTTCCTATCCCTACCCTTTCCCACACCCCTGAGCAGCAAATGAGGCAGGCAGTCTGAACAAGAGCAAAGTCCTTCGACTCTGAGGTCAAGCTTTTTGTCTAGACAGACATAAATGCCTCCTGGTGAAATAAACTGTTCCAGGTCCTCTCCAGGACATGTCCCTCAACCAGGGAAGAGGACATGGTTCCTCTTCCAACCAAGTGAATAGGTGATCTCAGACATAGCCTTTAGTTTCTCTTCCTATTTATTTTTTTAATCTTACCTAACCCAAGAAGTAGCACATAGTAGGAACTCACTCAGTATTCGTTAATACATGCACAAGTCTTCTGCAAGCTCTCTTCTTCCCTCACCATTCTAGAGAAACTGTCCACGGAGAGGAAATCAACACTCTTCCCTAAGTCAGATTCAGTGCCAGGACTTTACCCAACAAAATGGCTTCATGGGATTGTCTCCAAACCTTTGATATTCTTTGCCCTTTTGATTTCCAGAGCATTGCACTGTTGCCTTCTCTTTCCTGATGGCCCGTTTTCAGAACTCTCTGCTGATGCTTTGTCTTCTCTGCTCCGTCTCACCTCTTTCCTATAACCCTAATCCAGGAGACCGAGGGATACAGAAAAACCCCACATCTCTACCTTCATTCTTTAGCCATTAACTTTCATGTTATTCTCTTCTGAGATAGTTTGAGGACACCTCATCTGTATGTCATTGCTAAATTCATTATTCCCTCCCAGGTCACCCCCTATTCTTTCCTATTTGGTTTCCACCCAGCGTTATTTCCAGCCAGTGCTGTCATGCCTCATTTGAAATCTTACCTGGATTTGCCATTTCTGTTTCCACTGCCCATATCCTGTGCCTAGATGACAACAATGGCCTCTTAAAACAAAATACTTTAACAATTGCCATAAACCCGTCACTTTCCTAAACCACTGATATACTTTATCTATTCTAATCTTTATACATTGTGAGCATTTGTATCACTCTGATGTCCACATCACAACATGAGGAAACTGAGGTTTAGTTGCTCTAGTTATTAAGTAGTTTACTGAGACCACACTGTATGAGGTGGTGTCTTGATTGAAGTCCAGAATGTCCATTCCAGAATATAAGCTGCACTGCCTCTTCCAAGGGGCTCCAGTTCGCCCTTCCTTTTTTCTTCAACGTATCCTGTGCTTCTAGAACAATGCTCTTCTAACAGGGTGCCATTTTACTAACTCCAGGAGCTCAAAGAGGAAGGAGACTTATGGGAAAAGTATTACTATATGAACTTTCATTGAATACCTGCCCTCTTCTTACATTTGTCAAGCTGCTCAGACTCCCTTGTCCTGGGGTCTGAATTCAGTTCTATCACCTCAGAGCTCAGCCATTTGCCTTAAATTCACTATCACTGTGCCTTAAGAAGAGGATTGCTCCCTTTGCCAGGTCTAATTCTGGAGCCCTCACTGTCTAGGCCTGCCTCCCCCCAAAGGGGGGATTCAGACACCACAAGTCCACAGTAGTTTCTGTCACTTTTCAGGTCAAGAGACTTTCAAAACATTTTCACAACCTTCTCAACCTAGCTATTCCTACTGTGTCCCAACATCAACCAAGCTGCACAGTCTACTTTTTCTAATTGCACCTGGTGAAGCAGATTTTAATTTTAAAGCCCTATCTCAAATTTTATTTCTTCCATAATTCCTTCTCTAGCTATTTCAGTCCTCTTCCTTTCTAGAACTCCTGCTGAATATGTATTCTGCTCCACACCATTTATCTATCACTGTGATTATATTGTAATATGTTGCTTTATATCTACCTATCTTGGAGGGTAGGCAAAGAAGTATTTTCTAGAATCAAAAGAGGGTCTTCCTGTAAATACAAATGCTAGTCTCACTCGCAGGAGACAGAAGTAGCATGCAACTCTCTAAGTAACTCTATCCACTCTGAAAGTTTAAGATATTTAATTCCCCCTGTACCCCTTTACAATGTAGCTATAATTCCTCATTTTATATATGGCTCATGTATGTTAGCCTCACCTCCTCAATCAAACCATGTGTTTCTAGAAGGCAGGGACTATGTCTCATGCTTGTACCCCCTGTTACTTCAGGCAAATAACAGGTAGCAAATACTCCTTTATTAACTTATTGATAATTTTCAATTCAGGAACCCTACCATCAAATGTTGATTCTTCTGATATGTGCACATGAGGCCGAAAAGATGATTTTTAAGGTCAGGAAATTAGCACCCTTATATTGTTCACATAAAATAAGTGATGATTTTTCCCACACCTTTCAAAATATAGTACTAAAAGTTTATCTCAGTGCCATTTTGAATACTAGAATTTTAGAGACATGTTAGAGAGGATTAAAAAATCTCAAGTAATAACAAGCAGGTCAATAGCAACTGTGATAAAAGCACTTCTACATTAAAAATCTCAAAGTGACTTTAAAAGAAAGCACACACAGTAACATTTACATGTCACTCTTCTTTGTTGTGTGTGGTAGAACTGTTTACTTTCCTGATATCACATGCTTATATTGTCATGAATTAAAAATTCCTACGTGTTCTGGTAAACACTTTAGCACTGACTGTATGTTAACACTAAGCCTATTTCCTGCCCTGGGTTGAACTTCATTCTCCACCACAAAGCTCTTAGCTCAAAGCACGTAGCTCGTGTTCATTCCCATGGCAGTATGTAACCACAACTGCAGCAAAAATAAAACGAACACATTGAGCAAATTGTGGACAAACTTATGAAGGTTCAGTACCTCAGGATTCATAACTGGGGTGCAGGCATAATGTAGGTTCAAGGTCATTATATGAAAAGGAGATACAAAAATACGGAAAAGTGTGATAATAAATAATTTATTATCTTCTGAGAGTTTGTATAAACTAAGTGTTTTTTTGTCCCACAGTGACCAAAAGTAAAGAAGTAAAAATAATTATGGTGAAACACTACAGAGTAGGTCTAGATGAAAAATATGAAGTAACAAAAAAGTGGTCTTTGAACGATCTGCAGAAGATTGATGGAAAGGAAGCAGAAACTGTAAGTGTTATGTTTTGTGACAGATATGGCACCATACACTGGAGAGCTTTATGTTACTGGCCTATAGTGTATACCCTTGGCATGGACTAAGTGTTAAGGTTGCCCACCATTCCTAAGTGATATGTTTTAGTCTACCTGGAAGATCTATTTCATTGTGTTATGCATTAAATTTGAATTTTGTGTATGGAATTTGAAAGCACCTTTCCCAATGATTTCTTTTTTTCCTGAAAACCATTTAATTCTATGTTGTTTGTTTTTTTTATTGAGGTAATGTTGGTTTACAACAATATACATGACTCTGAGGTACAGGATCACACCTTTTCAGATATATGTTACTATAACACACCCACCCCCAAAGCATCCATAATCCCAGTGGTTTTTTAACAAGTTAAACACTGGCCTTTCCTCAGCACCCCAATTTCCTCCATAAATTTTGGAAATCCTACCCTCATACTCTTCAAATTTTACTTCAGTGCTACTTGATTCTCCAGAAGAATCACTAACACTAAATCCTACAACCTAAGGGCTAGGAGGGAGAGAATGCCTGTATACTCCAACCTCCACACTTCAAAAATAGTGCTCCCACAGTCTCTCTTTGAACAATTCTACTGAGAAAGAACTCATAAGCACATGAGGAAGTCCATTCCATTTTTGAGTTGCCATAGTTTATTTTTAAATTTCCTACTTATGTTGAACCAAAACATAAGTAACATCTTCACTGTAACATCCACCCATCAAGCCCTAATTTTGCCATTTGGGGCAACCTAAAACAAATCCAATCCTCCTTTCACATAGCAACCTCTTCAATGTTTGGAGATCATTATAGTGATCTCTCAATTTTTCTCTTTTCTAGGTTAATTATACTCATTTAATTCTTTAAATAACTTTCATGTGAGGATCAAACAAGATAATATATAAGATGACACAAGCACTAAGTTACTAGCATTGCTGATATGTTTCAACACGTTCACTACACTGCTCTTACTCCTCAGGAATATTTTCATTTCTCAGGAAATTAATACTGTGCTTTAGAATTAATGGGACTAGCTATGATATGAATCCCTTATTGCTATCAATATACTGGGTGAAATCCCAGATTTTTTTGTATATGAATCTGCCCTGCTCTCAGCTTATATAGAATAAAATCTAAATAAAAGCCCTTGGTGACCTGGCTCCTTCATCTCTAGTCACTCTTTTCAACTTTATATATCCATAGTGCTTAACTGCTCAGTCTTGAGTTTTAGAATGCCTCCTCACCTCCAGCTCTCACCACATCCCCAGATTCCCCATTGGGCAAAGTCATACTCATGTCTCCTAACCCACATACTCTCATTGCAATATGTTAAAAACTATATTCCTAAAAACTGGAGTTGTTGGTGTGCTCTGTCTCTCCTCTGGATGCAAAACTCCCAAAGAATTGAGACCATGCCTTTTTGTCTTTTATCATAGCCGTCTTCCTAGTAGATGTCAGGAACGCATACATATTTGTGGTGCTACTGAATGAATTAGAACCTAACCTCATTTATTCTTTTTATAGATATATATTAAAGAGCAGGTTTATTAGGGAAAGGGGAAGAAGAATAAAGGGCACTTACAAGCAAGTGGGCAGAAAGAACTGCCCATTTATTCTTAATACTTCTAAATGCCATATTCTTAGTTTGGCTTATTGTTTCAACCTAATAAATCATCTAATATGTTGTTATTTTAATATTTACTATACTATGATGCAGATTACAGAGAGGAACATGTAGAACTTGATTCAAGTCAATAAAAATGATGAAACACATAGGGTTAAGAGTATATATAATTTGGTAATTCATATAGTCATTAATACTGATATTACTACTACTAACAATGCGGCTATCACTACCATTTTACACCTAGTAAATTCTTAGCATGTGCCAGAAACCACAGTAAGCTCTTCCCATGTATTTCACATAATCATCTCCAAACCCCATAAAGTAGATTCTATTTTTACTCTCAACTTATGGATGAGAAAAATAGACAAAGATATTATTTGACTTGCCCAAGATCATATAGGTATTAGGTGATGGAACTAGTCTTTACTCAGAAATCTATTAACTTGTCTTTTTTGGATTGGTTATTTAGCAGCTATACAAATTTTTGTATTCATGCATTTGTTTATTCATGTATTTATTGAGGATGTGTGATATATCAGACCTGCTAGATTCTGAAGATATCATGGAGAATTAGACAGACAGAAGCACTTAATTCTGCATTACTGAACTCATTTTCTAGTTAGAATACCTAAATTTTGCCCAGAAGGTCTCTACTAAAATCAATAAATGCTGTCTTCACTTAGCTTGAAATTATCACCTATTTTAAAATTTTTCTCTGTTTGTCACAGCCTCTTGGTGAAAGCATGCTGGATTTCATTGCTTTCTTTCCTAAGCATGAATATTATATCTTTTGGCAACACAGTTTACCTAAATATTCAACACTTAGTTAATTATTACTTAATACAATGAGATATTACAGTCATTAAAAAGCATGTTTTCAAAAGAATCCTTTGAACATAATTATTCATCATTTAATAAGTTTTTTTAAAAAGTCAGCTGGATACAAAACTTTCTATATTATCTCAATTCAATTTGTCATCTTATTAAAAACAAAAATCGGAACTTTAAGTTGTAATATAAAATACATGTGAATATATGTTTGTGTATGTATTTATGTGTATAAGAAACAAACCAGTACTTTAACAATAATTATCTCTGTGTGGTAAGATTATAATTTTTTAATTATTATCGATATTTTCTTCTTTGTAATTTTATGTACTGGCCAAAATTTCTGGGCTCCATTGAATTTTACCAAACGCAAACATCCACTTCACTATCCTATACTTTCAGGAATTAACCAACTCCACTTCTTTTTGGCCAATTTCTTTCCTTGTTTTTTTTTTTCTCAAGTTCCCAAATATTGTTGATGTTTATTTATTTTCTACAAGTTTGGTGAGTACCTAGTGATATATTCATCAAGCCTGTCACTTAGATTCATTGGAAGCACCTGGCTCTATTTTCTCCTCATCTGTCTTGACCTTTAATTCCATCTTAACATTGTTGAATTTTCCCTTTCTTATTTGATGATCATTATCTTTGATGATGAAGGAGAAGTTGAATATATCTATTTTTCTCCTAACATTAGGACCTAAAATATTAAGTTGCCAAAAAGCTATAGTTCTTTTAAAGATTTCTTTTCTATGGATGAAGTAATAAAAAGATCCCAGTTGTTCTGGGAATTTCTACTTCTCTCTCTTGGAATTGAATACTCAGGAGTCAGCATTTATTATATTTTTCTCAATAGCAATAATACACTTTAAGTATAGTAATTTCAAGCCAGGAAGTTGTCAACTTTAAAATGGAATGAAATTGAAATTGAAGTCAATTTATAAAGCATAAATCAAAATGACTGGGGATATGGAGAGTGATATGGTACAACAGGAGAGAGGATGATGTAGCAAAAATGGGATTGGGCTCATTGAAACCTTGGTTCTTGTCCTGGCACTTCCGTTAACTACATGTGTGACTTGGATTCCTCAGAGACCTGGATCTCTCTGGAAACTATTAACTTGGCTATAAACAAGAGATTAATGAATTATCTGTGAGATCCCCTCTTAGTTTCTATTGAAAGAAAAAAAAAGAGATGGAGGGAAAAAAGGGAGGAAGAGAGGGAGGGAAAAGGGAGAAGGAGAACTTGTATTATATGTACATTAGTACTCAGGCTTTTATTTTTAGGCTAAAGGAAAAATTAATCCTCTCTAAGCATCTCAAAAGCATGAAGGATATTTGCTACATAAATCAGGATAAAATGTTTCAGGGAGGAAACTACATAAGGAATGTGATTAGTATCCGGTAATGGAGTGGGTGGGATTCCTTTTATTGCGATTCTCTGCAGAAGCTTCTTTCAAGTAGCAATCATGACAAGAGGAAAAAATTTACCAAATGTGACAAGCGGAGCACTGTATTTATCACCACATCATCCCTGTACATTTTATTTTCAGAACATTGTCTTTTATTTTAAAAAAGTATTTAATAGTATAAAGTAAGGTGGTATTTACTTAGTATGACAATCTCTAGGGACAGTTCAGGAGAAAGAGGCATCTTTATTAATCTCCATGCTAGGCAGTTTATCTTTGAAGCATCACAGATGCTTCAAAAAGAATCTTTCATGTTGTTGTTCTTTATAGAAGCAATGTGTTTGAAACAGGTTGCTTTGGAAAGCTCATTTGTAGGTGTTAGAAATATGTTTGATACAGATAAACTATAATTAATAAGCATAATCTCATGTAAACTTCACAGCAATCTTATTTAACATGAAGAGGAAAGTGAGGGTCAGATTAATAAGATCTTTGCCCATGGTAGGTCACATCATAAAGGAGTCAAAATGGTCACCTAACTTCAAATCTCACGTTCTGTTTCCTGCTTCCTGAAAGAATGTTACTATTTAAAAGGGAAATTGCAAATGCCTAAGTTGTTTATATATAATATTTACACACCACATGATAACATATAACAAATTATTAACATTCTGGTTTGTTCCCTCTTTACATCCTTGTCTTTTAGGGCAATGTTTACCGCCACTTCTTTTTTCATAAGACTACTTCAGATCACTTCACTACACTTTGTTGAGAACTTATTAGTTGCAATGGATATGCATTAGGAATATAAAGATAAATAATGCAAAACTTCTACCCTCACTGAGAGTTAGGACTTAGATAACGAATGTGAAAGTATTTTGTATATTGGAAACACTTTATAAATGCAGAGCATCATTACTGCTATTAGTAACAGCAGCAATTATCATTATAACATGTAGGACCAGGATCAGGTTTGATATCAACTTTTTTCACTAGAAGTAAACAGCTAGAAGAATCTGGTCTAAGCCAATCTTTAGTAATTTTTCAGTTTCAATCAAATGATTTTATGACCCTTGCATTTAACTTCAAAGTCAGTAAACTGGTGATCTGCCAAATGCCACAGGAGAACTAGCCATTGTGTATTTCCTCCTTTGGAATGCACAAGGACTCAGTCTCCTAGTAGAGAAAAGGAGAAACCTTGTATCCCTTCCAAAAGTCTGTAAATAGGTTTATTCTCTTCTTCCATCCTACCCGTACTCTCAAATTCTCTGTTCTCTGAAGACCAGATAGCTTTACATTCCGAGGCATGCTTTGTCTATAGAATTTTAAATCAAAGATGATTCAAAAAGAATCTTTCATATTATTGTTCTTTATAGAAGCAATGTGTTTGAAACAAGTCACTTTGGAAAGCTCATTTTTATGTGTTAGAAATATGTGTGATACAGATATGCCATAATCAATAAACATATGCAAAAGAATATGAGAGAATCCAGGAAATCTTGCCACTTTCCTGGCTCCAAATAAAATTATCTCTCTCTTTCTCTTCTAGGACAATCCATTTTTTGATCTGCACTTCAAGAAAGTGTACTGTTTGGAAGCTTATAGTTGTGCTTCTAAATATGCCTTTGCTCGAACTGTAAATAAACTGAATCATGCATATCTTAAGAAGGACCTACAGATTGTGAATTTTGATTCTACTTACATTAATGATGATTCCATTTGGTCCTCCAACAACAAAGATTGCTTGGTTCTTATGAGAATATGTTTTTATGCTTTCAATCTTGTGTGCTTGTCCCTGTGTCCTCTGCCACTTTGAAGATATATATCATGTCCTTCATCGGTGTGCTATGAAAATGGATCCCTAAGTAAATACTGATAATCTTGATTTTATTTTCTCTCTACAGTAGTAACTATTATTTTTATGAAAATAAACTGACGCTTTGTGAATTGCAGTGAAATATGTTTTAATGCAATCATTCAGTTTTGGGACTTTCACCTATATATTCCTTGGTAAATTTGGAAGGAGTTCTATGGTTTTGTCTAAATTAATGTTCTACAAAAGAGTGTTAAAGAGTATCTTGAAAGGCCTAAATAAATGGACAGATATCCCATGTTCATGAATAAGAAGACTTAATATTGTACAGATGTCAGTACCACCCAAAATGACCTATGTTGGATGGTATTTCAATGGCTTTTTTTTTTTTGGACAGAAATGGAAAAGTTGGGTCTTCAAATTCATATGGAACTTTAAGGGGCACTGAATAGTCAAACAATCTTGAAAAAGAAGTACAAAGTTAGAGACTCACCTCTGATTTCAAAACCTGTTATAACACTATATTTATCAAAACAGTGGGCACTGGCATAAGGATAGACATATAGACAATGAAATAGAGACAATTCATAGGAAGAAAATTGTCAATGATATTTAAACATATGAAAATATCTTTGCCTTGTCCATAATAAGAGAAATTAAAATTAAACCCACACCTACAGATTGACAAAACTCCAAACCCTTGACAATATTTCACTGAATATTGGAAAACAGTCCCTCTCATTGTGTTGCTGTTAGAGATGCAAAAGGGTAAAAATTCCATAGGAAAAGAATTTGGCAATAGCTTGCAAAATTTCATATGTATTATCAAAAAAGATAAACTCATGCCGCTCACTGCGACATGGATGGAGCTAGAAGGGATATGCTCAGTGAAATAAGTCAGAAGGAAAAAGAAAAATATAAATGGTTTCACTTAAAGGAGGAATATAGAGAAACCAAACAAAGGGTCAAGAATGTAAGAAAATTACATTTTTTTAAAAAAAAACTACATATGTATTTACTATTTAACCCAACAATTTGATTTCATTTTCTAGATCTTTATCCCAAGATACTTGGCAAAAAATATAGAAAGACACATGCACAGACATGTGACATTATTTAGCAGTGCGAAATACCTCAAGTGGCCCAAAAAGCCATCGCTAGAGGATGAATTGAACAAATTATGGCACATGCAGCAGTAAAAAGTGGAAAAATAAGGAAGGCTACACAAATTCCCTGATTGGAGGCTGTTGGCCTGGGGTGGCAGGCCAGTTAGAAATGGGGCATTTTAGGTAATTGGTTAAAGATGTGTATTTGGCCTACTCCAGTTAATCCTAAATTGGAAGCAGAGCCTAAATGAAGGAAGCTGTAGTTGGTAATCAAGTCCTGGCTGTTTGGAGCCCCTTGCTCCAGGGGTTATTATTTGGCTGACTGGACTGGTTGCTACAGGTAGTACTTTCATTTCCTTGACTGGTTACTGCATATATTAGATTGACTTACTGGGCTGGTCACTACAGGTTGTGAGTCAATATCTCTATTTTTACATATAGTCTGGTCATTGTCCATTTGTATATTTAGAAACACCTTTATTGTGGTGGTGGTTACTTGTCATTATACACTAGTCAAAAGTCATTGAACCTAAAACCTTATTCAGAAGTTTGTTAGTGGTAATATAGGCAGTGCTATAATTGTTAGGGGAAAAGGATGTCCTAAAGCTAATTCCATAAAGGCTTTGTGGACTCCACCCCCACCCCAGGCCAAAGCCAAAGACACCGGGAACTCCAAATCCCATCACCACCAAAGGGAAGGTGGCTGGGACCTGAGGGTGGGGTTAAGCAGCCAGGTTGGTATAAAGCCAGACACGTGGGCTTTGGAGGGGTCCCCCATTTTGACTCTCCGCCAGCTTGCAACGTCTGGCCAGCTCTGAGAGTGCTTTTTGGGTTTCCAGGTCGGCGGATCAGGTAGGATGCATTAAAGACTTTATTTCCCTATTTTCTCCCTGAGTTGTACATTTTCCTTATTTCCTTTTCCCTTGTAAATAAACCTTTTATTAACTTTTTGTGTGTGCCTATAGTGGAGTATTCATAAGTCCCTTGTAAGTGCGCGGGTGAGGACCCACAGCCAGGCAACCCGTTCAATATCGGGGCTGCCCTATAACATTTTGACCCTATTATGTAAGTATTATTAAAAGATAGAGCATTAGGAACAATAAGCTTAAGAGAGAGACTATACAAGTATAAAATCAAAGTTAAAAACCTGTAATAGGGCCTCCCTGCTGGCGCAACCTATGAAGCTGTCCGCAGTCTTTGCAGCACGAGTTCAATTCCCCGGCTGCCAGAGAGTAAACCACATGGCGCAGTAGACCTCTCCTGGCTCGCCTGCAGCTCCCCTCAGCAGTGTACTTAGGTCAATCTGCCTGTCCTGTTCCCCACTCTGTCTCTGTTGGGTCCTCTCACACCCCCCCCACCTCTGGCCTGTCCCCAGCTCTTGTATCCATAAATAAATAAATCTTTTAAAAAATAAACCTGCGATAATAAATCCAACTGAAGGTATTATTGTCAGCATAAACTCATTCAAATAAACTGCATTTGTCCCCTTTGTAAGGTCAAGAATGACACAGTGCAGGTTTTCTATGATCAGGCAGATTAGGTAAAGGAGTCCTGGAACCCTCAGTGGGTTTTGCAGGCCTTTCATTGGGATTGACCAGGCATACGGTAGGCAAGGGTGCTGGGGGTCCGGGAGGCTGGCAGAGCTCCCAGCCCCCAGCAAGTCTTCACTCTATTTGGGTTCTCTGGCCTTCTCTCTGCTTCTCTCGGCTTCTGTTCGTTCTTGGCTTCTGCTGGCGTCCCAGTGACACCGCCCTTAAAAAGCCCAGTCTTAGCCCAGGTGAATCCCATCTACATATCCCACACCCTACTCCAGGTGCCCGCCATCAGGCATGCATTCGGGACCACAGGGCTCCATCATCTATCCTAATGGCGGGAGGGCAGAAAAGCCTGATACTTTTACTTTACCCTACACCCTTGAAGCAAAGACGTCCAGGAGCAATGACTATCTTAGCATTTAGGGATGGTCTATAAATACCATTCCCATTGAAAAGTGTGAAGCTGTTTAAAGAAATTACTGATTCCAGGTCTGGGGAAGAAAAGGTATACATCAGTGTAAGGGCAGGAATGGCCACAGTGCAGGTTTTCTGATCCCATGCAGCCCGGGTAAAGGAGGAGTCAGAGTCCTCAGTGGTTTTTTGCAGGTCTTTTATTGGGGTTCACCAGGCATATGGCAGGCAGGGGTGCTGGCCTCCTCCCAGCCCCCAGCAAGTCTTCACTCTATCTGAGCTCTCTGGCATTCGTTCTGCTACTTCGGCTTCTCCTGCTGTCCCCATACGCCGCCCTTAAAAGCCCCGTCTCAGCCCAGGTGAATCCCATCTACCTATGCCCACCCCCTACTCCAGGTGCCGCCATCAGGCATGCATTCAGGACCACAAGGATCCATCATCTATCCTGATGGCGGGAGGGCAGAAAAACCTGACATTTTTCCTTACCCTACAATCAGTTTCTCTTGTAATCATGGGACAACTTGATGTATGAGGAAGAAAGAAGCTACCAAACTCTATTAGAGTCTAAGGACAGAGGAACCAAGTTAAAGTAGCTCTCAGTGGAGTAAGATGGGACCGCTGGAGCATAACAAAGAAAATGACTGTAATGAAATGAAATACAGCAAGAATATGTAAGTCCTTGCATTTCAAAATACTAAAAAAACAAAAAAACAAAACACCTCATCGGTCATTAATTGAAACATCAGAAAGTCAAGAAAGGAAAGTGTAGGGTAAAGAAAATGTCCGGCTTTTCTGCCATCAGGATAGATGATGGATCCTTGCGGTCCTGAATGCATGCTTGATGGCGGGCACCTGGAGTAGGATGTGGGCATAGATAGATGGGATTCCCTGGGCTAAAACAGGGCTTTTAAGGGCGGAGTCACGGGGACGCCAGCAGCAGCCGAAAGAGAAGCCGAAGCAGAAGCCGAGAGAGAAGCAAAGCAGCAGAAGCAGAGAACGCCAGAGAGAGTGTGGATTTGCTGGGGGCCGGGAGGACTGGCGGCCTCCCGGCCCCCCAGCACCGCTTCCTTCCGTGTACCTGGTAATCCCAATAAAGACCTGCAAAAAAAGCCACTAAGGACTGACTCCTCCTTCAACCCCGTCTGCATGGGATCAGAAAACCTGCTCAGTGTCACTTCCTGCCCCTACAGAAAGTCTTAGTATTTTTCTTGCTTTTCCTGTAGGACCTGTGTGCTAAGTAATAGATGACAGGGAAATGTTTTTTTCAATTTTGAAATTATTTTAAACTAAATTATTTTTAGTGAGGCAATGTTGGTTTACAATTCTGTTTATGTTTTAGGGATTGAAAAGTTCACACCACTTCAAATGTGTTATTATACCATACTGTAAGGCAGGACTAGCCACTGAGCAGGTTTTCTGATCCCATGCAGACCTGGTAAAGGAGGAGTCAGAGTCCTCAGTGGTTTTGCAGGTTTTTATTGGGTTCAACGGGTACGTGGCAGGCAGGGGGGCTGGGAGGCTGGCAGTCCTCCCAGCCCCCAGCAAATCTTCACTCTATCTGGGCTCTCTGGTGTTCTCTGCTTCTGCTTCGGGCTTCTTCTCTTTCGGCTTCTGCTGCTGCTCGGCTTCTTGGCTTCCCCTGGCATCCCCGTGACACCGCCCTTAAAAAGCACAGCCTCAGCCCAGGTGAATCCCATCCACCTATGCCCACGCCCTACTCCGGGTGCCCGCCATCAGGCATGCATTCAGGACCTCAAGGATCCATCATCTATCCTGATGGCGGGAGGGCAGAAAAGCCTGACATTTTTTTTACCCTACACATACCCATCACCAAAGCATTAGATTTCTTTTTTTTAATTTATTTATTTATACAAGCACTGGGTACAGTCAGAAGCGTGGGAGGGTGAGAGAATTCACCAGAGCCAGAGGGGAGAGCAGAGCAGGCAGACTGACGAAGTACACTGCTGAGGGGAGCAGCGGGTGTCAGGAGAGGTCTGCGCACCATGTGGGACCTTCCTCCGGTGGTGGGGATCGTACTGGCGCTGCAGAGGCTGCGGGCAGCTTCTCAGCCCAGCGCTCAACTGCTG